CTCTAGCAGGTTATGCAGATGTTTGAGGAACCAGGAGAGAGTGAGTCCAAAGCCAGCTGGGTGGCTTTGGGCCAATCACCAGGAGATGGTGATTTCTAGTTCTTCCTGAGGCCCTAAAGCTGGTTGGATGTCTTTGGGCCAATCCCCAGGCGATGGAGACTTCTAGTCTTGCTTTAGGCATAAAGGCTGGCTGTATGACTTTGGGGGAATCACTAGGAGATGGTGAGTTCTAGAGCCGAGGTGGCGCAGTGGTTAGGGTGCAGTATTGCAGGCCACTTCAGCTGACTGCTATCTGCAGTTCGGCTGTTAAAATCTCACCGGCTCAGGGTTGACTCAGCCTTCCATCCTGAAGGTGGGTAAAATGAGGACCCGGATTGTGGGGGGCGATATGCTGACTCTGTAAACCGCTTAGAGAGGGCTGAAAGCCCTATGAAGCGGTATATAAGTCTAACTGCTATTGCTATAGTCAGAAGAAACAGGGCTCAGGGATCTTGCAAATAAACTGATCCCAAGTGCTGTCTAGGAATCTATAGGTGATAGGGATGCTTACTGGGAGCTAGTGCAGGTCATTGAGTGTAATGGGGATATAGAAATACATATGTCACTGGTGAGTTGAAGCCTCAACTGGGGGGCAGCACAAGGTAAGACACATTGTAGGAATCCAGTCTGGAAGTGACTAAGCCATGAATGAACATGCCCCCCCCCCCAGTCTTGTAGCAAGCGCAATTGGTGCGATGGTTGGAGTTGTGTGAAAGTCTTCCTGGTCATGGCTACCAGCTGGATCTCATATAGGAACTGATGGAAGATCTCCAAATCGCAAAATGGCTCCAACTGAGATAATGCAATCCAATCCAGAACCAAAAGTGGAAAATGCCTAGATCCTGGCTAGATCCTCTTAGATTCTGGAAGATTTCAAATGCACAAGCACTCAAGTCTTGCTGTGATTAAGTCAGAGGCTATTCTTCTCCGTTCAGATCCCAAATTTCATTGAGTTCTTACAGAAATGTATTGTGGGGATAGACTGGTATGTTAAGAATCCAGATACTGCAAATTTGCATTGAGAGAAATTATTTGTAGTCATAGAGCAATAAGATGATTAGAGCTTAATGGTGTCTACAATTCCTACTTTTATCCCAACTAAAGCTTGAGTTACCATTGATTTCAGACATGTTTGTGTCCAGGCTAAAAATGTTGATTTAAAATATTGTTATGGTAGACAATCTAATGTTCATTTATAATAGATACAGCACTCTTAGCGGTCAAAATTTATCAGAATTCAGGCAGATTAGGTATACTCAAAATATTCTGACACCAAAATACTGTTCATAAAAGCCATAATGAGTGTTCTGAAGCTTTTATCAGATACTCAGGATAAAATGTTTTGCATGTTGATTGTTCAAAACAAAATGAGATTGTTTTTTTTAAGTGTCTTGTGTTACATAATTATTTGCTTGTTCTCTAAGTCGTGACTCACATATTTCAAATGGTTCTAATGTCAGCCAGGATGTTAAGGATGATGATGTGCAAAAATTTCCAAATAGGGATGCAAAAAAGAAAACCCCTGATCTACCTGAAAAAACTGGAGGGTTGACAAGAATGCAACTCCTGCTTTCGTAGGCTTGCTTGAAAGGGAATCCCCGGGCTCGGTCCGTGTTCTGGTGAGGCAAAATGTGTGCATCATTCAAAAAGAGTCAGTTCGGTGTAGCAGCTAAGGGGCTGGACTAGAAACTCAGAGACCGTGAATTCTAGTCCCACCTTAGACATGAAAGCCAGCTGGGTGATTTTTGGCCATTCACACACTCATAGCCCAACCCACCTCATAGGGTGGTTGCTGTGAAGGAAATAGGAGGAGGAAAGAGTATGCCGCATACCTCCCTAAGACGGATAAGATCGCACAGGATGGGCCTTCTCCAGGTGCCATCAGCTGGACAATGCCGGCTGGCGACGCCTCGGAGTAGGGCCTTCTCTGTTGCCGCTCTGGCCCTATGGAATGAGCTACCCCCAGAGATCCGGGCCCTACCCACTCTCATGGCCTTCCGTAAAGCTATCAAAACCTGGCTTTTCCGGCAGGCCTGGGGCTGTTGACCTCTTGATTGAGGTCCAGCCCCACTTAGACTGGGTGCATGTTGTGTTCTTTTAATTTGTGTCTTATTTGTTTTAATTTGTTGTGTCTTATTTGTTTTAATCCTTTTTAATATTTCTTATTTCTGTAAGCCGCCCGGAGTCCTCCAGGATTGGGCGGCCTATAAATTTAATAAACAGTAACAGTATCTTATACTCTGGTGCGTTTTATACTGAAAAATATAGTAGGTTGTTTGCAA